GGTCGCTTGCTTTCTCACTTTCTCTCTCTGTCCCTCTCTGGTCAAATTTTTTTTTAAATAAATTAATAAATGTATAAAGTTAAATAAAATAACTCTTTAAAAATTTAAAAAATAAAAAATAAACTTTTCAAAGTCGGCAGAATCCAGCCATGAGAATTCTGAGCAAGGCTGTGGAGGACCCAAAGGTGAAATCAGAGGGACCTGGTGTGGAACCCTCCAACTACCCTGGGTCCCCACAACCAGTGGTTCTCACGGTGCAGTCCCTGGGCAGCTGCTGCAGCATCACCTGAGAACACGGAATGCTCATGCTCAGGCCTACCCCAGACCCAGCTGTCTGAGGTTGGTTGGTTTGTTTTTAAGACAAGGTCAGACCCTCCTGCCTCATCTTCCCAGCTGGGATTGTAAGTAAGCACCACCACGCTCAGCTGTTTTTGAATCAGGGTCTATCTATGTTGCCCAGGCCAGCCTCAAGCTGGTGACCCTCCTGCGTCAGCCTCCCGGGGTTGATGGGATCACAGGTGCAGCCCCCATACTTAGCCTTTAGGCTGGACCAGGAATTGAACCCATGTAGCCCCAGCAGCCTACGCCACTACAGCTGGGCTTAAGTCTAAGTTTTGTTTAGAGCTAATCAGGCGGAAATCTGGTCCCCAAGATTTTGCCCCTTGCTGTTACACCCATGAATATGTTACATGGACTTTGCAGAGGTCACCTTTACAAAAGGGAGATAATTCTAGATTATTTCTCATCACACAGGTCCTTAAAAGTGGAAGGAGTCAAGTAAAGCAGAAATAGAAGCCAGAGAGATGAGACGCAGAAGGATCGACGTCCTGCCGCGTGCTGTGAAAAGGGTCCGTAAGCCAAGCAATGTGGGCAGCCTCTCACCACTCCCAGCCGAGAGCCAGCAAAGAAGGTTCTCCATCCTTCTGGCACACAGAATTAAATTCTGCCAAGGGAAATGAGCCTGGAGGCTAATTCTCCCCCTAGAGCCTCCAGATTAGGATTCAGACCAGCCAACACCTTTATTTCAGCCCGTGAGATCAGAGTAATTGGCCAGACCTGAGCAGATGTCTAACTACAGAACTGTGAGGGAGGAGAGGTGCTCAGTCTCTAGCTTGTGGCAATTCATCAAAGTAGCCATGGTTAGCGAACCCAGGGGCCAGTCAGCGTAGTGGTTAAAGTACTGGATTCCCACATGGCTGACCACAGTTTGAGTCCTGGACCTGGTGGTTTGAAAATCACGCCAGATGTGTGTGCATGTGTGCCAAAAATCCCAAGAGACTGGAAGAAAAGGGACTGCAGCATGACCATCCCCCTTTGGGGGTAATTTCTTTTTCTTTTTCTTTTCTTTTTTTTGAGAGGTTTTTGCTATAGGGCATGTGCGCTCACCAGAAAGACAGAGGGAGAGACAGAGAGATAGAAAGTGAGAAATCACCCCCAGCGGGGATGGCCACGCCACAATCCTTTCTCCTCCATTCTCCCCTCGGTATCTAGGGCATGCATGCACATGTGCCCAGCGTGAGTTTAAGCCACTGGGTCCGGAACTCAAACCGTGGTCGACTACATGGGAGTCCAACAACATAGCCATTATGCTAACTGCTGGTCCCAGGGGTTAATTTCTCACTTTTCCCTCTCTTTGTCTCTCTCTGGCTCTCACTACTGAGTGCATACACCTCTGACAAAAACCTTTAAAAAGAGAGAGAGAGAAAAGAAAACCCAACGTGTGTCTTATTAGACATACTGCTACGTTTTATTATTGAATATAAGCATCTATATTAGATATGAAATGAGTTGGTCATATGTTGATAACTATTTCAATATCGTTGGTTTGTTTTTCATTATCTGCACTTTAGTTTATGCTTGTAACAACATTTTTCAGAGAAAGGATCCATGGCTTCACCAAATCACCAAAGGTGTGGGGCACGAGGGACAGCACAGAGGAAGTTAGGGTCCCTGCCTTAGGGAGACAGTGACATCAGGGTAAAACTAGCAAGCCATAGTAGCACCTAAGGATGGGAACAGGTGGCCAACCAGACAGTTTGATCTCATGTTCTCGGAAACTAGGTTAATCCTTTCTGAAATGTCCTAATTTCATATTCAACAAGTGCACACGCACACACAGTGAGAGAGAAAGCCGCTATGCCCTGAAACGAACTGGCCACGTCAGGCCGGCTCCTTTCATCCTGCTCGGTATCTAGGGCAGTGGCTTTCAACGGCGTTGCCACAGCCCCGGGAAAAGCACATCTCACTCACAGGCCGCGCACATCACACGGGTATGAACGTGTGCGAGAGAGACAGAGCCCTTGAACATACATACCTGAGTAGAAAAGAGGTTTCACCACACATATCCGACCTGGTCACTTGCTAAGCACTCTGTTGTTTCTTATCTGTTTTAGTCTAGTGTTGTTCATTTCTTCTTTTGTAATGCCAACTGGCATTAAAACTCTGCTCAATTTAAAGGCAGGGAAGTGTGATGGGAAGGTAAAATGAATTTTGGGACCAATAGGTGGCATGGTGGTTAGGGCGCTGGATGCTCCCACATGGTCAACCATGGTTTGAATCCCAGACCTGGTGGCTTGCTTTCTCACCTTCTCTCTTTCTCTGGTCAAATTTAAAATAAATGAATGAATAAATAAAGTTAAATAAATAATTCTTTACAAAAAAAAAACTCTGCTCACTTCAGTTTATACTCAATAATGAGCTGTAACTAGCAGTCTGGAAAACAGTGATGTGCAGGACTATGATTCAACTTGCATTCACTTCCCCAATAAAGAACACACACCCCAGGGGCCGGCAGGTGGTGTGGTGGTTAAGGGCACTAGACTCCCACATGGCTGACTGCAGTTCAAGTCCTGGAACTGGCAGCTTGCTTTCTCACTTTCCATTTCTCTCTGTCTCTCTCTGGTCAAATTAAAATTAATAACAAATGGGATTAAATAAATAATATTTTTTAAAAAAGAACACACACCCCAAACACACACTACATACACATACACACACACCACACACATATACTTTACATACTCAACACACACACATACTCCACATGCATACCCCACATACACACACACATCATCTAATCCTTTCAGAGTTTCACAGGAAACCACACACAATCAAGTCCCCAAAATAAAGCTGCGGGTTTCCTGGGAGGGACAAGTTTTAAGTCATCATTCAATTTCCCCCACTGTGGTCTTTTTTGTTTTGGATTTTTGCTATAGGGCGTGTGTGCTCACCAAAGAGACAGAGAGAGACAGCAAGAAATCACCCCCTCCAGGGGGAATGGCCACACCACAGTCTATTCCCATCCATTCTCCTCTCGGAATTTTGGGCACACATACAAGACCAGCATGAGTTTTAAGCTGCCAGGTCTGGAACTCAAACCGCAGTCAACTGTGTGGGAGTCCAGCGACATAACCGTGATGCCATCTGCTGGCCCCCAGCTGTGAGACGGTCACAGACCCCAGCCGGCTTTCCAGCAGCCGCGAGCCTCTGCATAGCAAGGGTGCTGTGCAGTGTGTACTGGAGGTGGGAAGAGGGTGTCTGCACCCAGAGGTCCCAGGATAGCCCTGAGCACGTAGGACAGCACGGTGACCTGGGAAAAGCACTGCTCGGGGTATGCCTTCAGAACATTTCTGAGGGGACCAGCCAAGGGTGCAGTGGTAAAATGCTACGCTCTGTGAGGCTGACCCTCCTGGGAAGGTTTTGGGTTCACTTCTGTAGAGTTCCCTAAGGACGCTGGACACAGACATGCCTATGATCTGGGGCTGGCTCATGGCATGAAGACCCTGTTGAGGGTTCTGTCTGTCTATCTGTCTGTCTCTCTATCTCATGGAATAAATAAAGAAATCAACTTTTTGGGGGTTTTTTTTTGAGAAGTTTTACTATAGGGTACATGTGCTCGCCAGAGAGACAGAGAGACAGAAAGCAAGAAATCACACACCCGCCCCCACTCCTCCCGGAAGGGATGGCCACACCACAATTCCTTCTCCTTCATTCTCCTCTCGGGATCTTGGGCACACACACACGCACCTGGCGTGAGTTTAAACCACCGAGTCCTGGACTCGAACCGTAGTCGACTACATGGGAGTCCAGCGACATAGCCATTATGCCAACTGCTGGTCCCAAAAAATAAACTTTTAATAATAGTTTGGGGTTTTTTTTCCCCAATTTTGTGGGCACTGGCTAAATAGAGAGAGTAACATAATGTCCAGACGTTTTAGGTTATCTAGAGTCAGATCTCAGATGTTGCTCTCTTGTCCCGTCTGTGTCCTTCTAAACCAAAGGCCAGTCTATCTTTGATTTGAGAAATGGTTTACATACACGTCTGTATTTAACCCAACACCATGGCCAGCCGTACAATAACCAGGGACAGAGAACTGGAAGGAATTAGACGGGTGAACTATGAAGCTCACTGACCAAGAAGGCCGGCCACAAAAACAGGACCGGGCTTCCCTGTTGAGTTTAGCTTACAATGCCAACAAACTTCCAGCTCGCACCTCACTCCATCATAACCACTCTTCCTGGTTAGTAATCAAACTCCAAAGGAGACATTTTACCAGGAGAAGAAATACAGGAAGCCCAGATTTAAGCAAGTATAGTATGAAAATCCCAATATATGCCCATTTCTTCTTTTTCTTAACAAGGTCAGCCTAGGTAAAGGCAGTCAATGGTGTAGAAGTTGGATGGCCTAACCCTTGGTAGCGGAGCGGTGTTCCTCAGAGGAGTCACCCAGGGGAACCTCGGAGGGGCCAAGAATTAGCATGACCTCTGTCTCCATGTGTTCAGGACTCCTCCAGTTTGGGCACCAAGTGTTCTGAGAAACCCTCTGGTCCAGAGCAAAGCAGGGTGCTCACTCACCATCCCAGAATGCTAGTTCTGCTGGCTACAGGGGGGTGTTAGGTTCATGGCAATTCATCAAACTGAACACTTGTGCATGCAACATCTCAATAAAATGTGTGAGGAACCCCAACTCAATGTGCAGACACAAGGGTGCAGAGCCATACCTGGGCCTGCAGCTCGGCTCTCTGAGCCTGCAGGTGGGACAGCACCTCCCGGCTCTCCTCCAGCTGACTCCGCAGGGCGGCCACTTCCCGTTCCGTCATGAGCTTCTCCTGCACACACACACACACAAAAAAAAGCCAGATCAGGCTCACACATGGGAGAAAAGCCAAAGAGGAAAAGGACAGAAAAGCTGTAGAGTCTCATGACAGACTGAATATTCACATTCCCCTGAATCCATGTGTTGAAGCCCTAACCCTCAAGGCGATAGTATTAGGAGGTGGGACCTTTGGGAGGCAATGAGGATCAAATGAGGTCATGAAGATGGGGCCCCCGGGATGTAATTAGTGTCCTTAGAAGAAAAGGAAGGGACACCAGGAGGGCTCTCTCTCTCTCACTCTCTGCCATGTGAAGACATAAGAAGAAGACAGCCATCTGCAAGCCAGAAAGAGTCCTCACCTGACACCCATTCTGTCATGGCCTTGATCTCAAATTTCCAGTTTCCAGAACTATGAGAAATAAACATCTGTTGTTTAAGCCACAGTCTATCTATCCTGTTAAAGCAGCCCAGGCTGACCGAGAAGGCCCACAGCAGCCACTGTTAATGCCTTCCACTTTGTCTTCGAAGTCTGAACGATCAAATGTTTGTGAGTGCAAAGTACAGAGACACATCTTGGGGCCTGAGTTTAGCCCTGGCTTTGCCTCAGACTGGATTAGAGATGACACGAGGCACTTGATCTGCAAAGCCTCCAGTTTTCCCTTCTGTGCAAAGAAACACCTGGGATGCAGACCCTTGTTCTACTCTATTTTCTGTGTCTATGAAGACAAAGGCCAGTCTGAGCTCTGTGCCATCAACTGGGCTGAGATGTCACCACAGGTCCAAGCAGGAGCCATCAGGCCTGGTGAAGTCACTGCACTGTCCCATCGATGCTCCATGGAATGATCTGGATGAAAATTCTCCTTCCACCTCTCCATCCTCTGCCAAGCGGGTACCTTTTCCTGACTTGCCTCTCCACCAACTATTCAAAAATAGCCAGCAGGTGGCATGGTGGTGAAGGCACTAGACTATCATGTGGCCAACTTAGGTTTGGGTCCTAGATCTGGTGGCTTAAAAGTCATGACAGGAGCATGTGCATGCGTGCTCAGAGTCCTGAGAAGAGAATGGAGGAGAATGGACTGTGGCATGGCCATCTCCCTGGGGGATGATTCCTCACTTTCCTTCTCCATCTCTCTGTCTTTCTTTGATGAGCACATGTGCCCTATGACAAAAACCTAAACCTAAATATATATAAATCTAAAATATATCATCTCCAAACTGGTTCACAAAAGCCTGACTGCCTAGGAGCAGCACCTTCTGAACCAGAGCACTGACTCAAGGCCATGCACAATCCAAAACCAAGTCAATGACAAGGGCGCCCCATGCACAAGCCCACATATCGGCAGTGGCCCCCTGCTCACAAACACCTTGGAAAGTTGCCGGGACAACCATAGAGACAATGGAAGTTGGAGCAAGAGGAAAGAGCTGGAAGGGAGTGTGACTCAGTCCAGTGGCTCAACCACGTAGAGCAGGCTGGTCTCAAAACACAGCTGCAGAGGGGCCTCGGCCACTGTCTGTTTGTTCCCACGTTTCTGGGGCATGGAGGTGTGTGTTTCCCTCAGGCTCTCTCTCTCTGTGTCTCTCCTTGTGTCCTGTCTCTGTTTCTCTTTCTGTCTCTGTCTTCTTTGTTTCTCTGTGTCTCAGTCCCACCTCCCTGCCTGCAGCACATCGACAAGGAAGTGGCTGGAGCAGAGAGGGGCTCCTGTCCTCAGTGTGCAGCATCTGCAGTATCTGCAGGAGGTGAATACGCTGCGCTTTGCAAATGCTAGACCTGCAGCCAGGGGGCGGCAGAAGACGCAGCACAAAGCCATGACACCAGGTGTCCCCCGCCACCCCATCCCCTCACCCCCACCTGTCTGGGCTGTTCTCCTCACTGACTTCCTCCTGCCCACAGGGTGCCTCCTGCAAGGAAGACTCTCAAACCTCGGTGAAGAGGAAGAAAGGCAGTCCACAGCAGGCAGCAGGGGGCCTCCCTACTCATGAGTTTATGCCACCTCAGCATCCGAAGATGTCACTATGGGACCATGGGGGGATGAGGCAGAAGTAAGACCGCACTTGTAGTCATGTCTGAGCACAGATCAAAAGACAATGAGGCGACCACCAAAATGGCCAGGTCTGCTCTCCGCACTTACACGAGTGAAGCGGCTTCTTTACCAAGTACCACTTTGACCTCACTAATGTTCTGCACCCAAGACACTCAGTCATGGGGTTGCCCCATCCTGATAGTATCCAAACCTGAGCAGAGCCCTGCTCACCTTTCTTTCCCCCAAATCACCATACGTAGTCCAGATGGCATGCCATATCCTCCTCTGTGGAGAGGGTTCCTAAGCCTCCATAGCGTGCACACCTGGTGTGTCTGAGTGACTCTGTGTGAGGGGAACTGACATGCTTTACAACACATCAGTCAGGTGGCCCCTAGTCCCTAGGGGACACTAATTATATTCTCGTCTGTGGAACTTCCACAATTTTTTTTAATTTGCCAGAAGGAGAATACACAGGCCAGAGAGACACACACACAGAGAAAGCATCCCCCTAGGGGTTGGTTATGCTGCAATCCCTTCTCCCTATCTCCCTCCTTTGGGAATGTTGGGCGTGTACACATACACACACACACTCTCCATGTTTTTTAAGTAGGCAAGCCTGGGATTTGAACTGTGCAGTCATGTGGGATCCAGCGGCCTTAGCCATCGTGCTACTGGCTGGTGCCTGTGACTTCCACATTTTTTAGCACAGTAAGAAGAGACAATGGTGACCGTCTAACTTGTATGTACATTTGTATTTGTTTGTTTGTTTGGCAAGCAGGGCCTTGCTGTGTTGCCCAGGCCTGCCGTGAACTCAAAATCCTCCTGCCCCAGTCTGCAGAGTAGCTGGGACTACAGGCATGACACTGCGCCCCAGCCTAAATGCAGAAGTTTCATGCTGCAATTCACAAGGAAAGTGACACTTTCTAAATCTATGCTTCTCCATATTTTTTTTAGATGATTTTTTTTTTTATAGGCGTGTGCGCTCATCAGAGAGACAGAAAGCAAGAAATCACCCCCTGGGGGGGGATGCCATGCTGCAATCCCTTCTCCATTCTTCTCCCAGGATCTTGGGCATGCATGCACACACACCAACATGAGTTTGAAGCTGCCGGGTCCAGGACTCAAACCACGGTTGACTATGTGGGAGTCCAATGACATAACCATTACACCATCTGCTGGTCCCAGTGCTTCTCCATCTTTAATGCACAGAAGAGTCCCTGGAAACCAAGCTAAAATGCAAAAGTTCAGTGGGTCTGAGGTCTGGTTGGACATTCTGCCTTCCACATAAGCTCCTGGGTAACATGGATTCAATGATATATAAAAAAGGTCAGTCTCTGTAATTCTTACAATGGAGAAGGATTTTCTTACAAGAAAACAGATAGTATGATTAAAAAACATACCTGGGTGTAAAACATCTTTGAAATAGGGGTAAAATAACTTCAAAAACATAAATAACGTCTCTGGAAAGGAATCTCTGACAAAGAAAATTGAGGCTTTAGGAAAAGCATCAATGAAGAAATGGTAACTGGTCGAAAAAATCCCCCTGAAGGCCAAATAAGCAAACGTCTTGGGAATGTTGGGCGTGTACACATACACACACACACTCTCCATGTTTTTTAAGTAGGCAAGCCTGGGATTTGAACTGTGCAGTCATGTGGGATCCAGCGGCCTTAGCCATCGTGCTACTGGCTGGTGCCTGTGACTTCCACATTTTTTAGCACAGTAAGAAGAGACAATGGTGACCGTCTAACTTGTATGTACATTTGTATTTGTTTGTTTGTTTGGCAAGCAGGGCCTTGCTGTGTTGCCCAGGCCTGCCGTGAACTCAAAATCCTCCTGCCCCAGTCTGCAGAGTAGCTGGGACTACAGGCATGACACTGCGCCCCAGCCTAAATGCAGAAGTTTCATGCTGCAATTCACAAGGAAAGTGACACTTTCTAAATCTATGCTTCTCCATATTTTTTTTAGATGATTTTTTTTTTTATAGGCGTGTGCGCTCATCAGAGAGACAGAAAGCAAGAAATCACCCCCTGGGGGGGGATGCCATGCTGCAATCCCTTCTCCATTCTTCTCCCAGGATCTTGGGCATGCATGCACACACACCAACATGAGTTTGAAGCTGCCGGGTCCAGGACTCAAACCACGGTTGACTATGTGGGAGTCCAATGACATAACCATTACACCATCTGCTGGTCCCAGTGCTTCTCCATCTTTAATGCACAGAAGAGTCCCTGGAAACCAAGCTAAAATGCAAAAGTTCAGTGGGTCTGAGGTCTGGTTGGACATTCTGCCTTCCACATAAGCTCCTGGGTAACATGGATTCAATGATATATAAAAAAGGTCAGTCTCTGTAATTCTTACAATGGAGAAGGATTTTCTTACAAGAAAACAGATAGTATGATTAAAAAACATACCTGGGTGTAAAACATCTTTGAAATAGGGGTAAAATAACTTCAAAAACATAAATAACGTCTCTGGAAAGGAATCTCTGACAAAGAAAATTGAGGCTTTAGGAAAAGCATCAATGAAGAAATGGTAACTGGTCGAAAAAATCCCCCTGAAGGCCAAATAAGCAAACGTCTTGCCTCTCAGAGGATACTTGGCAGGGTTCAAAAGTGAGTTTGAAAGCAAATTGTGGGACTTCTTTGACTTTGATATAGGAAAGAAAAAAAAAATCAAATTTAAAGAAAAAAGCTCCTAAGCACCTTGGCCCTTCTGCAGCATGTCCACCCACGGCATAGGGGAAGGGTCCAGCCTTCGGAGCAGCCCAACCACTGATGGCCTAAGCACATATCTGGGCAATGTCAAGTGTCATCAAGGTTGAGATCCCCTGTCCTAGGGCATCTTTGCAAAAAGCCCAGAATTTTATAAGTGACCAGTCCACCAAACCCTGTCCCAGACTTCCACAACCTCTGGAAAAGGCATCTGGTGATATTTTTATTTTAATTTGCATCTTTTTCAGTTTATTTAATACCAGGGGTCTTCACAAAGTTGACTGAAATGCATATAAAAAACTATGCATGGATTTAAAAAAAATTTTTGCAGCAAAATACACTTATGTTTTAAATCCATTTTCCCACAAACTTTCTTTTTTCTCTAAACAATTATTCATTTAATTTTACTTATTTACTATTTTATTTATCTATTTACTATTATTCTTCAATTTGATGCCAAGTCTGTGACTCGAACTGTGGTTGGCCGTGTGGGAGTCCAATGCCTTAACCACCACACCACCTGCCACCCCCTTCCCACAAACTCTCTGAAGTACCTTTGTCTGTGAGTCCTATTATGCATCCCAAAATTCCATAAACCACATTGTGAAAAACAAGTCAATATCCTGTTGAGTGGTAAGAGAGCGACGTATGGAAGGGCGTTTGGAGCTTCACCTTGGGAATGATGTGGTAATTCAGACCTGAGTGTTTACAAACCAGCTTCAATCATCTCACTCCTCTCCCGGTAGTTTTCATGCCACATGCTCACTAGCAGAGCTTGGTCTTGAAAACACCATTATCTGAGATTCTCTGTATTTGAAATTTATAATCAAACTGGTAAGAGGAAGAAGAAAACAAACAACCCAGGCCAGCTGGTGGCATGGTGGTTAAGGCAGCTGGATCCCACATGGCCACCTGCCCAGTTTACATCCCGGACCTGGTCTGGTGACTTGAAAAACTCACAGGGCTAACTGAAGATTTTTGGCCCAGACTTCAGCCTCCTGACCCTAAGGATCTAGACAGGCCAATCACAAGCCATCTACATTTGAGTTCTGAGTGGCCCTTTTCAGGGACTAGGACAATTGAAGATTTTCCTCCCAGACTTCACCCTCCTGGCCCCAAGACCTAGTAGGGTCAGAGTAATCCTCAAATTCCCACAGAATATGCTGCACAAAGGGAGAAAAACAGAACTGGAGAGAGATTCCATAGCACCTCTTCCTGCATGCCTCTGAACACTCAGATTTAACTCAAAAAATTAGGAAAAAAGGGTATAATCCATCGGATGATCAGAAATCATCACAGAGGCACAAGAAATATGAGAATCCAAGAAAATGTCTCTCCCACAAGGGAAATAATAACAAAGCAAACAGAGATGCAAAACAAGAGAGACAACGAACTCCAGAAGATGTAGGAGAAAAGAGACAGTAAGTTCCTGGAGGTGAGGAAGTTCTTGCACTATCTGAAAGAGGAAATATACACCCTAAAAAAACAACCAAATGGAATTGTTAAAGATGAAGGCTGTAATATAGGAAATCAAAACCTCCCTTAAAAGTATTAAAAGCAGATTAGATCATACAGAAGATCCAATCTCAGATGTAGAAAAATTCACCAAAAAGACTGAGAAAATAACTCCCCCAAAATGAAAATCATATACAAGTAATACTACCTACCATTAAATGCCCAAACATTTGGATAATCAGTATCCCAGAAGGTGAAGAAACAAATAAGGGCATTGATAACCTATTCCAGGAAATCTCAGAAGAAAACTTTCCAAACCTAGAGAGGCATTCAAATATTCAGATCCAATAAATGCAAAGGAACTCACATAGAATCAATCCAGGAAGATCTTCTCCAAGACACAACATAGTCAGAGTGATCAAAACCACAGACAGAGACAAGATACTGAAATTGGCGAAAAACATCAAGTTACTTTCAAAGGATATCCCATTAGGCTATCTAACATCAGACCTCTCATCGGAAACATTGCAAGCAAGGAAAGAATTGTAAAATATATTGAAAGTATTAAGTGAAAAACAATTTCAACCAAGAATACTATACCTGACAAAATTATCCTTCATATGGGAAGAAAAGATGAAAATTCTCAGATAAATAAAATCTGAAAGAATTTCCCAACGCCAGACCAGCTCTCCAAGAAGATCTGAAGGGAGTGCTATCCCAGGAAAACTAAACTCAGCCACACAGAAATAAGAGAAGAAAAAACAGCCTAGAGAATGACCAACTTAATGGTAGGGCCAAGTCCAGAAATATCAATAATAACGATGAATGTTAACTTCCAAAATTTTAGCAGAAAGATCAGATGACAGTAACACTGCAATTTCAACAGAAAAGAAATTAATTATATGAGATTGAACTGGTGAAATGGAATTTTATGACTTTTAATTAAAACATTATTGGTTTTCTTCTATGCTTTGTTTTCCAGATTTAAGGATTTCTGTCTTCTCTTGAACTGTTGGTAGGTTAATCTACCTACTGTATGAACAGAATCCTAAACTTTTTCCTTGCTTTAAGTCTTAAGCGAACTTCTCTTAACATTTTTTTTATTTTGATCTATTAAAACTAAAATTGTTTTTCTTGAAATTAAAAACTGCATTTAAAAATATCTATTTAGGGGGACCAGCAGTTAGCGTAATGGCTATGTCGCTGGATTCCCACGTAGTCGACCGCGGTTCGCGTCCCGGACCCGGTGGCTTAAACTCACGCCAGGCACGTGTGCATGCGTGCCCAAGATCCCGAGAGGAGAATGGAGGAGAAGGGATTGCGGCGTGGCCATCCCCCCTGGGAATTTCTCGCTTTCTATCTCTCTGTCTCTCTCTGTCTGTCTGGCGAGCGCACGCGCCCTATAGCAAAAACTTCTTCAAAAAAAAAATATATATATATATTTAGGGACCAGAAATAGGAGTAATGGCTATGTCACTGGACTCCCACATAGTCAACCGCAGTTCAAGTCCTCGACCCGGTGGTTTAAACTCATGTTGGGCACATATACGTGCATGCCCAAGATCACGAGAGGAGAATGGAGGAGAAGGTATTGCAGCATGGCCATCCCCCTAGGAGGTGATTTCTCACTTTCTGTCTCTCTGGAAAGCACATGCCCCCTATAGCAAAAAAAAAAAAAAAAACTCTCAAAAAAAAAAAAACTATTTAATGACTGCAATAAGCTATATAACCCCAGTTAGGTGCTACACTATATTATGTTCATTCTACTCACTGAGGTGTATGCCTCAAGTCAGACATGTGTTCATAGATATGTATATATCAGCTGCGCTTGAAATTGAAGGTATTTAGATTAATTAAGATCTTTTGTGAATCAATAAAATATGATTGGGGGAAAATGGCACGGAAAGCAGTTGTAGATACCAGAGACAGTGTGGGAGGAGGGTGGAAAATGCCAAAGGATGAGAGGTAGAAAATCAAGTGGGAGAAGAAAAAGAAACAAAACATATAAGAAATAAGAAATGGAAAATTATTTGTTGACAATACCATATATGGTAATATCTTTGAGCCAATATACAGTGTACTCTGGATGGAAAATCCGATTTTGTATACTGTAATGATGTACAGTGAATGAATGTAAATAAATTAATTTAAAATATATATACATATTTTAAAAAAAGAAAAACTTGCAGGGCACATGTGTGTGCCCAAAATCCCAAAAGAAGAAATGGAAGAGAAAAGATTATGGCATGACCATCCCCATAAGGAGTTTCTTTTCACTTTCTCTCTCTCTGGCCTTAGTAAAAATTAAAATTAAAAAAAAAAAAGAAAGAACCAAATGAAAACACAGCCAAGGGTTTGAGCAGATACTTCAACAAAGAGCTATGTGTAAGAGATATGTGCATAAAAAGATGTCCGTTAGTTATTGGAAGGTGCAAATTAAAGCCACAGTGAGCTACACGACATACCTACCAAAGAGCAAAACACAGGACAAAAGCCGAGGTACCAAGTGCTGGCAAGGACATGGAGCAACAGAAACCCTCACACCTTGCTGCTGGGGACGTGACCCCAGTGCACCACGTTGGAAGAGAGCTTGGTGGTTTCTTATAAAGTATGGGGGAGAACAGCACATAATTCTCAAGAGAAAAGGTCTAAGAAAATGGCCAGAGACACAGTCCACGTTCTCAGATGTCTGAAATAATCAGCATTGGAGTGTGAGTCAAAGGACAGAACACTCAAATGTGCGTGCAAAGCAGGAGTGGAGCAGGTTGGCACTGGTCAGACCCAGTGCTTTTCCCTGGGCCTCTGTCAAGGTTAACTAGGCCGTTGGAGGAGATGGGGGATGTCTACAGACACCCTTCCTTCCAGGCTGGTTTGCTTTTCCAGTAGCTGAGGTCCGATTCTTACCTCCCGCATTCCGCTGGTGACCACGGACGGCTGCGGGGCAGTTTGGATGATCTGCTGCAGGATAGTGATGTAGGTCTGAATTTCCAGAAGATTCTGTTGGGGAACAGAAAGCACTGTCATTATAAGCCCAGTTGCCCGAGTTTTCCCCTAGAATCAGGAGAGCACGTGCAGAAAGGCTTTCCCACGATCCACCGTCACAATCAGGACAGATCAAGCCGGGTAGGAAGAGGAGGGAGATGACTCTGCCACCATGGCAGCCCGCCCACCTGGGCCACAGGGAGTGGCCACTGCATGCCTCTCTTTCTCTTCACAAGGACGCTGGGGCCGAGGGCTCTTCAGACTTGGTGTATTTTGCCATTTCTCCTCCATTGTACTAGTCCTTTGCTGCTGACCTTACAGAGCCCAGGGTGGCAGAGGCACAAGAGAAAACCAGAACAAAAGGGGCTCTGGATGGAAACAGCAGTTGGCTTAATGGCTATGTCACTGGACTCCCATGTAGTCAACTGCTGTTCGAGTCCCGGACCCAGAGGCTTAAACTCATGCCAAGCGCGTGTGCATGCATGCCCAGGATCCCGAGAGGAGAATGGAGGAGAAGGGATTGCGACACGGCCATCCCCCCTGGAGCGCGATTTCTCACTTTCTGTCTCTCTGTCTCTCTGGTGAGCACACTCACCCTATAGCAAAAACCTCTAAAAAAATAAATAACGGGGAAGACCCTGGCCTTTTCTGACACCAGCAAAGGGCAGCATTTCTAATAATGGGCTTTGGTTAGTCTGGCCTGGCCTAAAGGACAAGTCAGCTCTTTAAACCTCCTGAATGGGCCAGGCCATGGTGTTGGAGGCTAAGGTGGCGGGATCCCACAGGCTGACTGCATGGTTTGAGTTCCAGACCCATGGCTGGAAAAACATGCTGGCACTTGTGCGTGCATGCCTAAAATCCTGAGTGGAGAATGGTGGAGAAGGAATTGCAGCATAGCTGTCCCTCAGAGGAGATGCTCTCTCACTGTCTCTCTGTTTCTCTCTCTCTTACAAGTGCACGTGCCCTATAGCAAATTATAATAAATAAATAAATAATTCTCCCCAAATATTCTTCCATAAAATAGACTAACCATCTGCAGGGATGCCTGACCCCTTTACCAGTCAGCCTGTCTTGTGAGTGGAAACTGATGACAGGACACCCTACAGAGAGGGCTCTCAGCCCACCAGCGGTCCCCTTCTCTAGGAAACTACAAAGGCCCCGCCTCTTCCCCAACCCAGGCAATGACGGACACACACAACAGTATGAAGGGACGACTTCTTGCCTCAGGTAGTACCGAGGCATAGTGTGGTTTGCACTCCCACTCCTGAGCTCTGGGGGGACAATGAGACAAGGCCAAGGCTGCACTCTGGGTGAGACTACACCCTTGCTAGGCTCCTGCAGCTTCATATCCCTCACTCCCTTTCTCCAGGGAGCCCTCCACTAGTACATTAATCCTCGAGGATCCCTCGCTCAGGTTCTGCTCCCAGGGAGCCCACCTTGAGACACCATCTCCTAAGGCTGCTGCTAGGAGTCCAGGAGAGCACGCCGGAAGCTGCATGGTGGAAGCTAGCATCGTTATCGTGTCCCACATGGCCTGGAAAAACACTTGGAGCTGCTTGGAAACCTTCCCAGGTACTGCTCCCAAGATCCATGAAGAAGCAAGGCAAGTGGGAGGAGGAAAGGGCCAGGGCCTCCTGGGAAGCTGGAGGGCCACCGAAGGGAGAGGAAAGCACTTGGTACAGAGCAGGACAGGCCAGCCCTGCCGCAGGTGCACACAGAGGTGGGAAGCAAATAGCTTCAGGCTGTACCCGCATTACCACGTGGTCTTAGGTCTGAGTTTTCACAGAAGCAGACCCTGAGAGAAGGCTCCAAGTGCCAACAGTTGTTTTGAGCAATGAAGTCAGGCAACAGGCTGAGTGAGCAGTGAGAAGGGAAAGTGAGACAGGGAGGCGTGGGCAGCCCGTAAGAGGTGTGCTATCCATGAGTCACCCTGTGGGCACCGGCGCTCAGTCCTAGTGGAGATCTCTGGGAGCCGGTGCGGAACAGAAGCCTCAGCGTCCGCCCACACAGGTGAGAGGGAGCTGGGGTATTTATACACCAACTCCCATCTGTCACTGGTTGAAGCCGCTCCACAGGAAGTGGTTCCCTGACACTTCCCTATTGGGCAGAGCAAGCTTCCCTTGAATAAGATCCTCAGGCAAAGAGTCACCAGCATGGCAGTGGGAAGATAAAGCAGCAGCTCAGAGGCGAGGTCACTGACCCACGGTTACACAGCTACAGGATCGAATTCTTTCAGTGTACCCAAGTCAGGCCTGTGAGAAGCTGGTGAGGGTGTGGAGAGAGCAAAGCACTGCAGGAAAGGAAGCTCCTAAATAAATGAGTTCCTTCAAGTAACTGGTTCAGAGGCACAGCTTAAAAAAAAAGAAAAAAAAATACACACACACACAGAGGAATATATATATAAACTAGTAAAAAACATATTAAAATATAGTTATATATTAATATATATTTATATATTACATTTATATATAATAATATTTTTCTTTGTACTTTTTCTGCATTTTTTCATTTTCTGAACTGAAACAGGTGATGGATTCTAAGGATAATAAGGATAGATCTTAATGAAGTCACTTCATTCATCGTCACATACGACGGAAGTACTAGTTCCCAACCACCACCCCAACACACCCACTACTGCCCACTCCTCTCTGTATGTGTCTGGCTTGCTGAGTGCTGTCCAGTGACAATGCAACCCTGCTTGGGTCAAAAGAAAATGCACAGCTGGCTCCAGCAGTCTCGGTTACCAGCAGGAGTGGCCTGGGCTTGTGGGACTGGGTTTTCCAGGGGAAGGGCTCAAAGGGTCGCTGTTACCTTTTTGTGCCTGTCCTTCGCTGCACTGATGTCGTCCTGCAGGAACTGAGCTTCGAGCTGCAGCCGCAGGTTGTGCAGCAAGGCTTCATCGGCTTCCTAGGATGAGAAAGAGTCACACCACCAGGTCACGGGGACCGTGGTGGCTGGTGGCATCGGTGCACAGACGTAAAGTGGGACAAGCGTGTGAGCACGTGGACCACGCAGAGGCTTATTAAAACATAGATAAAGTCTCCTTCGGTAGGTCTGGGAGTGGGTCCAATGTTCTCCTAGCAAGGCACTGGGTTAACCCATTGGATCTTGTCCAGAGTAGCCCTCAACAGAGGGTAATTTGCCGCAAAAGGACATTTGGCAAAGTTTGGAGACATCTGTCATTGTTGTCATTTGAGGGGTGGGTGGAGGCCAGGGAGACTGCTAAATATCCTACAACACACAGGACAGCAATCTCCCACAACACGAGCACACACACACAATTACCTAACCTAAATCGTCAATAGTGCCAGAGTTAAAAAAACAATTTTAATCTAGAAACATGAGACAGAGCCTCAGGATATGTTTGCATACCAAACGACCTTAACATTTAAGTTCTAGGCAGGTGGTGGTGCAGTGGTAATGCAACTGCACCCTGGGTTTGCATCCTACAACCTTCCCAATCACGTTGGGCACAAAAATGCACTTTTCAGAATGATTGCTGCTGAGAAATGCATTGATTTCTCTGTTCCTGAAGTTGGAAATGCCATTTATCACAGAAGGCTGAATTTTCTCACCAAATGTGTCGATAATTCACTAATGTTTATCTCATTGGTTTTGTTGGGATAAACCAAAAAATTATAAAGAACTTACATTTATAAGATAGTACCGTGGGGCCAGCAGGTGACATGGTGGTTAAGGGCACTGGACTCCCACATGGCCAACCACGGTTCAAGTCCTAGACCTGGTGGCTTGCTTCCTCACTTTCTCTCTCTGTCTCTCTCTCTCTCTGTCTCTCTGTCTCTCCTTCCCTCTCAGGTCAAATTTAAATAAATAAACAAACAAACAAATAAACAAAATTAAGTAAAAAATAATTCTTCAAAGATGCATAAAAAAAGGTAGTACTGTAACATCTGGAACTGACTTGAATACTTCAGTGCTATTACAGAAGAGTGTTACTGGGGTTCATCAGCAGCTCCCATGTTCCCAACACACACCATGCACATCTGCCAATGCACGGGGCCTTGCTAATGACAGCAATGGGCTTTCACTAATAAAGGTGGATATGGAGTCGACTAAACTTTTTTTTTTTTTTTGAGAGGTTTTTCCCTAGAGGGCACGTGCGCTCACCCGACAGACAGAGAGAGACAGAGAGACAGAAAGCGAGAAATCACCCCCCAGGGGTGAATGGCCACGCCGCAATCCCTTCTCCTCCATTCTCCTCTCGGGATCTTGGGCACGCACGCACACGCACCCGGTGTGAGTTTTAAGCCACTGGGTCCGGGACGCGAACCGCGGTTGACTACGTGGGAGTCCAGTGACATAGCCATTACACCAACTGCTGGTCCCTCAACTAAACTATTAAGAAAAACTGTTGGGGCTAGCAGGTGGCATGGTGCTTAAGGCTCTGGACACCCGCATGGCTAACTGCAGTTCAAGTCCCAGACTCAGTGGCTTGAAACTCAAGCCAGGTGCACGTGCATGTGTGTCCAAGGTCTCAAGAAGAGAGTGGAAGAAAAGGGTTCCAGCATAGCCATCCTCCCTGTGGGAGTGATTTCTCACTTTCCCTCTCTCTGTCTCTCTCCAGTGAGCACATCTGCCCTATGTCAGAAACCTAAAAAAATAAAATAAAAAGAGAGAGAGAGGGAGACTGTCCCTATTTGGGTAGACAGTTATGGCAGTCTGATATGTGGACTGGAAGAGATACTTTGAGACATTCCCCACCCTTGCACTAATAGGGGTTCGGTTCTAGCAAGCCCTTTGGTATTTATTCTTAGAAAAGGAACTTGATTCCTTCATTGTTCTCGTAAAAGACTACCATGAGTCCGGGCGGTACACCAGTAATGCAGCAGCTCTGTAAAGATGATTCACGCGAAACAGTTCCAAGTTTGATCTGAGACCTCCTTGAACACTCCAGATACACACACGCCCACAGTTCAGAGCTGGCTGAAGCTGGGGTGGATCTCAATGGGAAACCCTTACTGAAGGTGCCTGCATCTTGCTCTCACTTCCCTCTCTGTCACTCTCGATTGTGGAAGAAATAAAAACAAACAAACAAACAAATGTTTGGTGTAGGAATATTTCTTTGCCTTTTTTTTTTCTTTAAAGCAGTATCTCACTATGTCACAATCCTGCCTAAACCTCCCAACGCACTGGCATTATTACCAGCACACTCCTCAACGCCAGACCTTTAGGTCAGACCAGGAATCACTCTAGATCTCCCAATGGTCCCAGTCTGCAGAGCTCAGCTTCTTGGCAGCATGAGCAAGGCCAGAGGCTCAGAAGATTTCTGATTGTCTGATGCAGATCATCACAATATTGAAATTCTGACTCTCGCGGAACCTGCCTGAAGGGAGCTTTCCACACACAAAGTGGAGCCTCAGCGGGCTGGGACTTCATGGAGCCCACAGAGCAGGCATGAGACTTTAATGGAGGCTGCACTGAAAAAAACATATTTATTTAATGTATCTCTGTGGAAATTTGGGCTGGAACTTTAGCAAGATTGTTAGGGAAGTGGCTAACCCTGACATAACTCAACTGCTGAGGCGATTTTATCTACTCAGAAGAACTTAAGAGTTTTATCTTCAAGAATTGAAGAGTCGTGCAAGATCAAGGTGGCCGATTTGCAACCCTTAGGAATGTTTCTTAAAGCATTCCTTTTGCATATGTGCATGCAAGTAAAAATTAAACGAAAATTTTTGAGAGATTTTTGCCTTAGGGCACATGCACTTGCAGAGGAGAGAGAGAGAAACAGACACAGTGAGAGGGAAAGTGAGAAATTCCTCCCCACCAAGGGAATGGCCATACTGCAATCCCTTCTCCAACCTCCTCCTGGGATCTTGGGTACACACACACAGGCACCTGACATGAGTTTCAAGCCACTGGGTCTGGGACTCAAACCATAGTTAGCCAAATGGGAAACCAGCAATATAACCATTATGTCATTTGTTGCCCCAAAATAAGTTATTCTTTTTTTTAATTATTTTATTTAACTTTATTTATTCATTCATTTATTTATTTCAATTTGACCAGAGACGGATAGAGAGAGAGGGAGAGAGAGAGAGAGAGCAAGCTGCCAGGTCCGGGACTTGAACCATAGTCAGCCACGTGAGAGTCCAGCACCCTTAACCATCAAGCCACCTGCCAGCCCCCCAAAATAAGTTATTCTAATACAGCATTATCCAAGCCTCAGGTATAACCTTTAAGTTTTCTAACAGGTACATTAAATAAAATAAAATGGAAGCAGTGAAATTAATTTAATAATAACTTTTCTTTCACTGAGTATACCCAAAATGTTATCATTTCATCTTATAATCACTACTTTGAAAGCTACCAGTGAGATGTCTTACATTAGGTTAATCAGGCAAGGTCTTTGAACATGGTGTGTATTTTATATTTACAGCCCATCCCAGGGGCCAGATAGTAGCGCAGCAGTAACCAACGCTCAGTGGGGCTGACCCACATGGAAGGTTCTGGGTTCACATCTCTGGACACACCAGCATGTGTGCACACGCTCCAGGGCTGGCTGAGGCTGCAAGCGTATCGCAGAGTGAGGGCCCTGCCGGGGGTGCTGTCATTCCTATTTCTCTCTCAGTTATGGAAGAGATAAATAAATAAACATTTTTTTAAAAAATGCAGGAGAGTGGAGGGAGGAATAAAACCAGTGGCAAAGTGGTTAGGGCTGCTGGATCCACTTGACCGACTGCACAGTTCAAGTCCCAGACCTGGCAACTTGAGAAACACACCAGGCCACGTGTATGTGCATGGCCAAAATTCTAAGAGAACAGAAAAGATATTGTAGCATGTCCACGCCCTCCTCCTACCCTCAGGGGATGCTTTCTCACTTTATCTCTCTCTGTCTCTGACTCTCTCTCTGGTGAGTATTCTATATGAGACTGAAAATATATATATATTCCTTTTTAAAGAAAAAATATGGTTATGAATCACACATCAGTTCAGACTCTCCACATTCATTACGGCTGCTCCACAGCCGCGTGTGGCCAGTGAGCCCAGCAGAGGACACTGCAGCAATATGGGACCAATTCTAAGTACGTGGAAATGTGCTCAGCGCCCCTCCCGGCTTCTGCTCCAGGGAGAAGCCCAGCCTCTTTCTCCCCTAATTTGCAGTTACCAAATGGCTTCCTCTGAGGACTCTGAAGCCCCTTCTTTGGCACAGGCCTGCCCCAGTGACCAGGTAAAAGACCCTCAGGCAGGGAAAGGATCCTGTACCCAGCATCAGCGTTGGCTCCTGGACAATCCTGCCTGCTTTCTCCAAGGTTCTACTCACGTCTCAGCCCAAGAGCAGGGCCCCTGCTGTCACCAGCACCACTGCCCTTTGGGAGAAGCAAGAGCCCAGAGAAAAAACACTCCTTTTAAAAACCCACACGTGGGCTGAAGCTTTCTGGTTTTTTTTTTGAATCAGAAGTCAAAGAATGAACCAACCAAATTACAAAACGGGACACAGTTTTCCAGAGCCAAGGCTCTGAATGATCTGAATGAAAGTAATATGAAACCTAGCTATCGGTATTTAGCTTCTGAGCTCATTCTTGTGATGAATGAATTAATTATCCACTGATTTTTAATGAGCTCTGCCTCCAGGAGGTTACCATTCTGGGGGCTTAAGGAGGGCCTCTCAAATCCTGTGTCATAGGGATAGTTAAGGAGACATCAATAAAAACTCAGCAGTAGTTTCTGCTTTCACAAAACAGACACTGCCAGGGGCTGGACAGTGGGACAGTGGTGATACGACTGGACTGCAAAGGTCCTAGGTTCACATCCTGGGACCGTCCTGAGCATGCTGGGCATCCATAATTCAAGTCTGCTGAGACCAGGGAGAGCATGATGTGGGACCTTGTTTGGAGGTACCCATACCCACTCAGGAGAATAAATTTTTTTTTTTAATGTTAGAG